CCGGCTGTCCTTCCCGTCGTAAATGATGAGAAGGGAGCTGGAGTAGAAGCGGTAGGAGGCCTGTCTCTCCAAAACCGCCTTCAGGCTTCGCAGTTTGGCGAGGACAGGCTCAAAGAGGTCCTTGCGCAGCTCGATGCCGTTGTGGAGGTACTGGTAGAGGGCGTTGCGGAAGCCCTCGATGGAAAGGCCGCGTCCATAGTATTTATTCCTGCACAAGTAATGCCCTGTGTCCAGCTGGTAGACCTAGAACACCAAGGGAAACGCCTGTGTCAAGTGGGAGCAACGGGCTGAGGCTGGCACAGGGAGCCCCGAGCTGTCCCACGCTGGCAGGGCAGCAGGAACTCATCCTGCTCCCGCCACGCCCAGGAGGGAGCAGGAAATGGCTCTGCCTGCTCCCTGAATCCCAAAGCAGCTCACAGGTGCATCCCACAGGCTAGGTGCCCAAGCACCAGTTGTCCCCCAGGGCACCCCAAGAGGCAGCTCCTTAGCCCAAGCATCCCCAACAGACCCTGAGGTTAAAACAGCCTCTGGCAGCAGGAGCTGCCCGAGCGTATTATTACATTATATGATATGATTAACGAGGGGTCCTCGATGCTCCAGGGCCTGGGGGCAGAGATCTGGATCACAAGATCCTCCAGCGGGTGGGGAAAGGAGCAGCTATTGCACAACGGCAGCAAACCCTTGTGCTTGGGGTTGGCCACCAGCAGCGACCAACCGTAACTCCCAGTCCAGTGCAGAAGCAAACATCAGCTGACGCTGGAATAGAGGGACACTCCCTCTTGCAAAGCATCATGGTTCTACTGCAACACGAAGCCATAAAAAGAATTTTATTAGCAAGCCCCCCAGCTGCCTGTCAGCAAGCCAACTTTGGATAAAGCAGGCCATCTCAGGAGAAGCAGGTGCCTTTGTTCTGGGCTCAGAAATTAAGGTAAAAAAAGCACATGCCATGAACACAGCTGCACCTACCTGAAGTGGGAGACTCTAACTCAGTGCTCTGCAGAAAACATTAACTGGGAAGCCTAACTGGGCTGCAGAAAGGACCGTGCAGCACCTGCAGCCCTTGGGATCCCTACCTGCATCCCACACACGCGCACGCCCAAGGTGGCCGAAGTGCTCTGTTCACACTTCTTCATCTGCCGAGCAGCCTTCTCCTCAGACGCGTCGTCCCCATGCTGCCTGGTCCCCATCTTCAGGTCAAGTACGCACGGCAGCTTGAAGTGGTGCACCACGTTCTCCAGCAAAAGGAATTCTGGGAGACATGTCAAGGAGAGCTTCCCAGTCAGACACAGCGCTGCCCAGGGCCACCACAGATGGGGGCTTGGGCCAGCATGAGATAGGAGCCAGCAACAAACGAAGAGCAGCCAAGGAACAGGCAGAACGAACTGTCTGGGAAGGTAAAGAAAAGGGTAAAATTCTCAACAGTGGCACCCAGGCTCTGACAGCTGCCAGAAGAAATCAGCCTGGAAAGTGGGATGGCCAACAGTGAACAAGAAGATCACACACAGGAAACTCAATAGGAACTGAAAAGCAAAGTGGAAGTAGTGTCAGGAAAGGCACAGGGTGCCAGTAAGAACTGCTGGTCCACTGGGCTTCACTGGGAAAGAGGAATTTCATAGAAATAAGGAAGTGTGATTAAAAAGGACAGTCCAAGAGTTACTTCTCTGTAAGTAACGCAGGCTAGTTAAAAATGAAAGCTGGAAGCTCAAAACACACATCTGATATTGGGAAAAGGAAGCCCACTCAGTTAAAATGGTGACAAATACAGCTATTCAAAGTAAGTTTGTTTCTGTGTGTATCAGAAACAGTATCAAGCCATAGAAAGTAAAACAGGAAAAACCCCACAAGCTGGCAAGCTCAGGACAAAAGTAGGAGGAGTTATTTATGAAGGCACACAAAGTAACAAATCCATCTTCAACCACCAGTGAAGCCACCAGTCATGCTGCACCAAGAGTTTTAAGTGCAAAATGAGCTACAGGAGAAGAGGGTAGGAGAAGAGAACCCCTAAAAAGAGAAATAAGATTTTGTTTTGCTTTTTTGCTGGGGCAGAGCTCTGGGGATTCCCAAGCCAGAAGTCCCTGAGCTCAGAGAATTCTCAGACTGAAATGCCAAGAGAAGAGATGGCACATGGAAGAGGAAATAAGAGCTGTGCAAGTCATTCAACACTGCCTGAAGACCAGGAGAACAAACAGGGGCCACCATAAGGCCGCTCTGCAGAGATCTGGGGAATCACAAACCAGTCTGACCAGTCTTACAGCCTGAGTTCACCAGCGGGGTCTGTGTGTGGAGATCCACACTGTCCAACAAGGGATCCAGAAAAATGAGCCAACAGGGAGATGACAAACTGGCTCAAAGTTACTCAAGGCTGTCATCACAACTGTCACTCATTTCTGCAAATTCCACAAGGGTCTTAAGAGAATGACTTGGACAGTGAATGGATGGACAAAATTCACTGGAGTTTACACACGAAATTATAAACATAAGGAGAAAAAGATTCTTGACATATAAAGCAATGTGTCTTGAGCTAACTATTACGAGTCAAGAGCAGGATCTTGGGGTAACAAACCAGCAATCAGCACAAGATTTATGAGGGAGAGGAGAAACAACACCACTAAACACCAGTAGGAATATCTGCTGCACCTGCACCCCTGCACCTTCCATGTCCTGTGCAGTTCTGGTCCCTAACTCCAGATGGATGCAGAAGAACTCGAAGAGACTGAGGAAGAGCGACAAGGACAAGTGCAGCTCCCTCCCGGGGGGACACTGAACAGGGCTGACCTGCACCCGCTGCTGGGCAAAGACCACCATGAAAAACTCTAGTTCAAAACAAGCCAACGTAGAGAAGGACCAGGGAAGAAAGAAAAAACATGGATACAGTCCAAAACATGGCTTCTTCTGGGCATCACTGTCAGTCGTCAGGGCCACTGCACGGAAGCCAGAAGGAGTAGTAAAGAGGAACAAGGAACACAGCTTTGGTTGCGTGGAAGACAGGAGAGCCAAAGGGCACAGCCAGGGCGGCAGCAGCAGCCTGACGCGCGGGGTTCTGATTCCCAAAGGATACTGTAGAGCTTCCGGTCCTTGGACTCCGACCGCATGCGGCTGAGCTGCTGCTTGTGGCAGCGCAGGCTCCAGGGGTTATAGCTGATCTTCTCCGAGCTCAGCCCGCTGTTTCCGTCCAACATCTGAAACGGAACATCCGAGTGGATGTCCAAGTCCACCCTGGGACTCTTCACTTCCTGGATGCTGCTGGTATAAAGAAAGAACAAACCCACCTGTTAGAATCTGCGCATCCTCCAGACATGACTGTTGCACCCTCCCCTTGCAGACAGCCATCTCCTGCTCCTTCTTGCAGTGCAAACCTCCTTAACAGCAAATCCTCACTAATACCCTGGGCTGTGGACCCACACGCAAGGACCTGGTCCATCTAACATCTCTGCTAGGTCGTATTTTTATTGACAAAGTGAGCAGGAACATCTGTTTCTCAGGGAGTTCTGGCTGGTGTGAGGGGGCAGACACCCATGTTCAAATCACCCCTGGAAGAAACCTCTGGGTTAATAACCAGGTGGACTGAAGAGTGCTTAAATCTGCTCCATATGCTTTAGTTCCACACCCACTAAACTTTCAAGGGCTATCCTGTGTCAGAAGCATTTTGCATGGATGAGTCCATCCTGAACCCAGCAAAATTCCTGACAGTCTCCAGTGCCACCATGTGCTGGGCTAGCCAGTGTGAGACAGCCTGGCCACTGTATGGAGATACAAAACACCCTCAACAAAAGGAGCACCAGAGCTGAAAGGGGCAGAGAGATTTCCTGCACGTCACGTTGTCACCGGGCCCTCAAAGCTTTACCTCTCAGTGCTGTCACTGGCCAGGCCAGGCCTCTCCTCCTTGTGCTCGGTGCCGCTGCTTGACCTGTGAAGGCTGCGACGCGAGTGCTTGCGTCGTGGCTGGTCCCTCTCTGGCATATCATCCTGCTCCAGGGCCTCATTCTCCACGTAGGGATAGGCCACCAGGTTGATGTAGCCATCGCTGTCTCCCTCAAAACAGACGGACACCACACCTGCCAGAGAGGAGCCACACGTCAGCTCCCTTCCCAGGGGAGGGAACGCAGAGCCACCGCCACCCAAACGTTCAACACCAGAGCAAAATGGAGCTCAAGAGCAGCACAGCACACCCAGAGCAACGAAAGGAAGTCTGAGACTACAGGAAGCCAGGTGGTGTTAGCAGAGGACAGAGGAGAAATCCCCCGAGCAGTGCTGGGTGTGGCCTCTGCGCCAGCGGTCGGCAGCAGCGGAGGAAGCTCTGCTGCCCGCAGGAGCTGAAGGACAAAGGGCAGCTGGAAGGCTGAGGGGTGTCATTATTTCCTTCCATTCAGCCTTGTGGCAGACGTCATCAAGCTGGAGAAAGTCAAGCAGAGTCTACCAAGATGTCAAAGGGGGCAAAGCATATACATCCAGTTCATTTGGGCAAGAACCGGGGTCCTGCAGAAGCACTCCTGCTGTTGACAAGGATATGGCTGGCCAAGGAGGAGTGGTGCCTTCTCTGCTGAAGGAGCCCTCCAGCACCTGAGCTATGAAGTACAGAGCTCTGAGGCTGAGGTGACACCTGCCACTCTTATCACAAGTCAACCAGTCTCACAGACAAGGGATCTGCAAGGTCCTCCCAGGGCTTCCTAGCAATAAAAACAGGAGACCTGGAAATAAAACTACCTCAGTAGGGTGCAGGCAAGCAGGACCATTTGTGTCCTGTCCTGTTTTACCTTCTGAAGGCTCCCGGGAAGCACCATAATCCAAGGGAAGTTAAAGACCTTTTGCAGCACAGACTGAGTATATCAGTCTGGCCAGCCACAGAACAGGACAGCTGACACTGCTAGTTAGGGCTGACATCTTCATCCTCGGGACTCCTCCAGCTCTGAAAATGAGGCTCTCAGGCCACCTCCTAACTCGCAATGACAAAAATCTTTCACCAGCTTGTACTGAATAGCTGCCAGGAGTCTCAGATGCTTGATGCGCTGAACAAGACGATTCATCACAAGCACGAGGAAACCTTGCACTGTTCAGCTGAGGCAGTCCATCGTGTTACCGTCCCTCCTGTTTCCACATCTGCCCAGGACAGCGCTTACAGAGTTCAGGTGGCTCAACACAACTTTAGGGCAGCTCAGGCCCCCAGCACATCACTACGTAAGTGCCTCTGCAAGTGCTCCAGCTGCCTGGATGTGCTCTTCAAGGTACAACCGTGAAAGAGCAATCTTACAGTAACCTTGGAGTGCTCAGGCAGGAAGCACCATCCCAAAGATTCCTCTCCCCCGAGATCAGCAGGCACAATTTAAGGGACCATCAGGTGCTCTCAATAAAATCCCACACTGGGGTGAAGGTGCATGCCCTATGCCTTTAGGCTACCAGGAAGTATCTGACTTCAACAAGACAGCTCTCCGTCTGGACTATCAGGTTCATCAGTTTGAAACCCATCAAGCCTGACATCTTATATCGATTCTAGTAACTACACAGGCTTCAGCTGGGATTTCTGATGGATCACTAAAGCACCATATGGCCCCAGAGTGGCTTGGGGGTACAAGAGGAGCCATCTGTAGGGAAGGTGACACTGCTCCGAGACCTTCAGGCTGCAGCCAGATTAAGTGGCAAAGCCTGAGCAGATGATGGTCCCAGCTGACTCTGAAGAACCGTCTTTGTCCAGTGCCACACGGTGACAAAGCAGCAGAGACTCAAACGCTGAGGTCCCCAGAAGGCCACCTGCCAGGATCATCATCCTGAACACCAACACACATGGCTGAAAGTGTATCGAGCTCCTGAAAGGTAGAGATGAGCTGCCAGCCTCCTGCAACGATGCAGACCCTGGAAAATTCCATTCCTTCACAGTGGCTGGGGACTCAGCTTCACCTCAGTGCTGGGAAGCAGCACCTCCAGCTTTGGCAGCATTCCAGCATGGCTCCATCAAAGAGGTGGGACGAGGAAGCAACAAATTACAGGACTGCAATGTTCAAGTGCTCAGTCTATGTTCTAGCTTCATTTGCTGAAGGTCAAGGCCGTAATTGACAATAACTTGGTAGTAAAATTACTTTAGTTAGACATTCATAACCTTCAGCTTCAGACTACGACTGTCACACTGCACGTCCTCTGCCTAGAAAGAGGAGCTCTTCAACTCTGCATGCCTACAACAAAGATTTTCTCCTTTCCAAGTGCTCCTATCAAACGGTTCACTCATGTAAGAGAGAATTAGAAACAGATAAAATGACACCAAAAGACAGCAGGATGTCAGCAGCTGCAGGAAGTGAGCAGGCAAGTCCTTGAAGCACATAAGTGCATTCTGGAATGATGAGAGGCCTCACCTTTGTACTCAGGAGTGAACTCCTTCATTTCTGGGGGCAGAGACTCATAGAAGCGCTGCTCTCTGGTGATGAGGGGCTTGCAGACAGTGTGGTCGTCGTAGCGCATCATGCTGCTGTGCCCGCCCACCTGGTGAATGAAAGGCTCCAGCAGGACCCCCCGGTCTCCGGATCGAGTGGCATTCTTGCCATACTTGCCCACTTCCATGGTTTGACAAACACACATTGCGTTGGGCACCAGTTGCACTCTTGGAGCATAGGGAGAGCCACGTGGGCTGGGAGGGCTAGCTCAGCAGTGGTCAAATCCTGGCAATCCGCTTCCTTACAACGAGCTGGAAAAGCAAAGGAGAGTCCTGTGAATGGAGGACCACCACTTGCATTCACTCCCTGTTGTCTCGGAAAAGCTTTCAGTGTTTATTTACATCCATAACTGCTCCTCTTCTGTTCTCTGCCTACATCCCGCTCATTCCACTGTGTTCCTCACCACCTCTTTAACACACACCACAGGGTAAACACACACTAATTCACAGGCAGTCTCATCTTGAGCTTCTCCAGTAGGGTTGAAAGGGAAAGGACAAGACAGGAGTATTTTGAGGCTGCTGTCTTTAGAAAATACTATTTCCTTCCTTTAGCTCATTTTATCAGCAAGGCAATGTGATAACAGAACAGAAACCAGAAGCTACAGCACCATTAAAAGCCAACCCACACCTGCCTATTGGTAAATGACTGACACAGGCAGAGCAAACATTTCAACAACCTGAATTCCGCCTCCTTGGGCCTCTGCACTTTTAACTTCTAAACAACTAAATAATTCCTGTTCACCTCCCACTCTGCCACTGTTCACTCCTTTATTGACTTGCTTCTCTTCAAGCTATGCCAGGAAAGACTCTCAGAATAAAAGTGATTATGTCACTGTATATATGGCTGTAACTGAATGGATTCCACTTGGAGTCTCTCCTTTAAGCCTTTCAGGACAACAACAATTTCCTGATGCTTTCACAGCACCTACGCGCACAACAGGTCCCTGGATCTCTAGAGATAAGCAAATCCAAAAGAGATCGGAAGTGTTTTGGAGAAGACAGAGGCTCTTTTAGTGTTTGCGGAGTGCCTGGCACAGCCACAGGATGATGGAAAAGTAAAGCTGTCCAAATTCCCTCCGGATGATTTGCCCATTCCCTGCTCGGGTCATGGCTGCTCCTGAGGCTGCTGAGGAAAACACCACAGGATTTCCTCACAACGGTGAGTTATCCAAAGATAGACGGTGGTAGACAGTGACTACAGTTTCCGAATTCATAAACTTTCCAGTTCCTTAGCACAGCCGAGGGCTGTAATTTAAGAACTGAAGGATCCTGGAGGCCTGAAGAAGGGACAGGGTTCAGGCTGTTCCTTGTCTGGCCACAGGATGTCTCTGCAGCTACACAACACTGCCAGGCTGGGGGAAGTTCTGGGTAAGATGGGAACTTCTCCCTCCCCTCCAACTGAATCGTGTAAGAGGTGTAGCTCAAGAGATTCAACAGGGGGATACTTCACAACACGTTTAACCCAAACAGGTCCCCAACAACAGGACAACGCTTCTTTCTCCCTGTCCACACATTCCTAAAAAACCCTCGCACTGGATTTTGGGACAGTACAAGTGCACGCACATTTGAGTTGAATCATCTCCCTGATCCCAAGGAAAACATTTCCTTTTGTGGTTACAGGACCACACAACTACACTCAATGTAGTAAGAACAATGTGAATACATATGTGGCTTTTAAGGTACAGGGCAGGAATAGGAAGAATTAAACCCACAACACAGATGGTCCCTCTCCATAGCAACTCCTGTCAAAGTCCCTTCAAGGTACCCTGTCTCCTAAACTCACTCAGAGCCCAAGCCGTGTCACAACGACAAGAACAAGCTGTGGCTTTCTCTCCTCCCTCTTATTTATAAAAAAAAAAAAAAAAAGAAAGAAATTTCAGCAGCAGAGACTTGTTTATGTCATACATGTTTTAGTTTGGTTAATATCCAAAGAACAAGCAAGGTGCCAGCACCTCCAACATTACTGCACTTCACAGATTTCAGGCAAATGCTTCACAAGCTGAAACCTCTGATTCAGTTTCTTTTATTTTGCCAATGACTAAAGCAGAGCTTTTAGTTATTCCAACCAATATAGAGGACAAGTTTAACTTTACATCTTCCTGTGGTTTAAACTTCCAGAGCCAAGAGAAATAAGAGATTCATCTGTGTGGTAACAGTAGCTGCAGTACTCAGGAGACATGTAAACGGTGCTCAGGTCTGGTTCTAGTCCCAGTCTCCACTGAAAGCCAAGCTCAAAACACCTCAGGAGCCAAGGAAGTACTATTATCCGTACTTTAGAGGACTAGCTAAGCAAACTCATCAGCTTCAGACACCATCACTGATTTCAGATGGTAACCACAAACACCCAGGCAGACAAACACCCTCTCCAAAGCCCACACAGACTGTTCGAGCACCTCACCTATGGGCTACAGGCAGATTTTGGCCATCAGAGCAAGCTATTTGAACCCTTCATCTACTTTCAGCAGCCTTCTTCCCTAAAGGTGAACAGCAGCAAAGCATATGCCACCTGAATTATCCTACAGATGGCAGCCACTTGCTCTGCAGAGTTTCTCAAGCCTTCTCCACTGCACAGCCTAGAGATGTGCGAGATGACTGCAGTTGTCCAAGGGCTCCTGGACACATGGCAATGAAAACAGGCTGCAGCCATCAAGAGGTGTCTCAGGCTCCCTGTCAAGTACCCCACAGCACCCAGGCAAGCCCAACATGACAAGTTTTGGATGTGCAGGCACACAGGGGAAGTGACAGCCACAAAACCAAACATTGTGGCCACAATGTAAGAGGATGAGCTGGACACCAGGTGGGAGTGTCCAAACGTGGTTACAACTGCTCCACATATTCATCTGCATGCTCTGAAGAAAACAGCAATCCAGTCCGTTTTCCCACCTACAAGTAAATGCCAGAAAAAAATACTTTGTGACAAGTAGCCATCCAGATAGCTTAATCTTTAAAAATGTATCTACAGGGCTTGAAAAACAGATACTTTATAACTCAGATACAGCTTAGTGGTTTCCACCAGACTAAGTTAAAGGGTTATTACTAAACATGGACACTACTCACAAAGACAGAACAATCCCAGCAGTTTCAAACAAGGATAAAGCAGAAAACTATTTGAAGGCCTAAATATTACTCATCTCTCCTCTGTTAAACAAAGGCATAGGTTCAACTATTTTAGCTGGCTTGTAAAATTCAGAGTCCTTCCAATTATACTGTGAAATGCAGTGTATAATCCACACAACAGCTTGAGGGAGACCCGTTCAGATCCTTTGGCATCCTCCAACAAACACCGCTATAGCAACAACAGCAGTAAAACATTCAGGCCAGCTCAGCATCCCCCCTTCCAACAGCCTGAGCTACAGTTAGCAAGGCAGATCACCCATCAAGCCAGGCTCCTGAGAAACAAGGGCTGAGGTTCAGAAACAGTTATTGGTGACTAGAGGAGGCCATACTACATCCCATATTCCATGATCCTCCCCTGTGAAAACCTCTTGTACTGGAAGGGAATTTTCTCTGCAATATTTAAGTATAGCTACCTTGGTACCAGTGTAGCTGCTCCACATCTGAACTGCATTCCTCCCTGGTCAAATACATTTTAGCAGGATAGGCAGAAAAGGCAGCAATAAGCTGCGTTTTCTTGTGGTAACACAAAATATTTCCAAACAAAAGCCAGGAAGGCACACAAGGTAATTCTGTTCTTTATAACAATTTGCTGGGGTAAATCCTGCCCCCAATGCCAACATCACCCTCCAGGAAGGAATAAGGCCCCCAGAGAAAAATAGTGCTCTGCTCTTGAAGACCCAGTCAGATAGTCTTAGGTGTTACTGAACCCTGGCTGAAGAATGCTGATGTCTCATCAGGCCACCACTAACATCAAGGAGATGCCTGCTCCAGCCAGCTCCAGGGCACCACCATCTGAGGATGCCAGCGCAGCAACAAGGAGCAGGAAGAGCAGGGGTGTCCTCTTTGATGGCCCTACAACGGGTGTGAGAATTACTGCAGACCACACCACAGTGCTGGTATTCCCACTCTTTATAAGCTGTCTTGTACAGGAACATCAGCTACACTTCATGACCCACCAGCAAAGTTCTTTTCCAAAATGAAAAAGAGAACAAACACTTGAAACTGTGATGTTTGCACAGTGTGAAGGCTGCCTGCATTAAGCACTGTTGATCCACACCTTCGTTGTAAGCAGCCTGCAAGTCCATCTCTCCAGCACTGCCTTGCTGCAGCTCCTAGGAGCATGGCCAGCCCTCAGGACCTACAGTGAAGACCAAAGCAAATGGACACTGACGACTCTGGAGGCAGGCCACAGGTGAGGGACAAATACTGACCTCAAGGTCATGCTGACAAAAGTTGGACTTTTTGTAATATAACAACCCTGAAACAGTTGGGAACAAAGCAGAATACAAAATACCAGTATACCAGGCATCTGGACAACAGAGTCCGGTGACTGCTTCTTGTCAGCAAAGAGCAGCAGCTGCTAGCTGCTGGGTTTCCTGGGCATGCTGGATTGTGTGACAGCTTCTACAGAAGAAAACCTAGTTGAAGGAAAAACAGATATCTTACACTGTGCTATGAGATTGGCTTCCCAGCAGAAAAGCTGACCTACAGGCCTGAGAGATGTCTGCCAAAAATGGTCTGCCAGCAGAAAATGGTGACCCCCGGGACCTGGTAGAGAATACAGCTCTGCAAGAACCCACAGCAACATTTAGGATGTAACCAGAAACATTTGGCTAGCGTGGCATCCAGGAAGCTACAAATCTTCCTAGCCTGTTTGAGTCCTGAGCCTTCCCCTGCATCCTGTCAAATGCTTGAACTATTGCCCAACAGGGTTCTTCTTGGACATGCTGCCCTCACCAAGGCAAGTGTGGCTCTTCAGATGGAGGCCAGGTAGTAGAATATGATCTGTATGCATATATCAAAACCAAAACAGAAGTTTTAGGAAAGGCTGCTGAAGAACATCAGCTGAGGAAGAGAATGCCAACAGTGAAGCTGGTGGAGGAACTGCAGTAAGCAAGGCCACAGAGAGGACAATAACCCATAATGTGTGTCCTCCACCCTAAGCCATGAGCTGAAAAAAAGCACACTTCCTTCACCAACACCTCTCCTGCCTCAACAACAGGGCACAAATGCACCAGCTGCTGAAGTG